CCAAAATCCTCAAAAATAATTGCATCATGACTTAATTATTTATATATTTTAATAGTGACTCAATTAATTGCATCAAATAATTGCATCAATTGTATCAAGGATCTATGAATTTCAGCAACATATATAATTGGTTTATAGAAAAAGAAAGATATTTTGAACTGGAAAACAAATTTTTGAATTGTAAAAATTTTTTATATTTACACATACAAACTGTTAACCAAAATATCAATATTACCAAAATTATTAAGACTACAAGATCTGTTTAAGAGCAAAGAAATAGACAAATCACAGAAAAAGAAAAAAAAACCATCCAAGAGTTACTTTTTACTATTCTCAAGCTTTAATTATAAGGAAATTAACCAAATAAATCACTAAATCACTAGACAACAAAAATAAAAAAGAAAAACTTATAGAGAAATTTGAAAAAATCCTGTAAAATAAGATCAAAAAAGAGAAAAAGTGACTAAAAATATAAAATGTAATCAAGATTTTGAAAAGATGAATTGTAATGATAAACTATAGACTATGATTTCAAAATATACTTTGAGACAAGTATATGAGAACAAGTAATTTTTTTCATTTCCAAAATTATATCTAGAGATAGTTTTATCTAAGATGGATATTTAAGTATTATAATTAAAAGTTTGTGTATAAAAGTTATTAAACAGATATATATTTTATATTAAGATTAAATAAACTTTATAAATACTTGTTTGATTATAGAATATATATATATATTTAAAACTTAATTTGTTATAAAGTTTAATATATAAATAAAGCTTTTAATTAATTAAAAAATATTATTATAAAAAGTTTATTTTCTATTTAAAAAAAAATAATAATAATCAAAAAAAAAATTTTTTTTATAATAATTTTTAAATATAAATATAAATATATATTATTTTATGGCTATAAATATTATGTTTAATAAAATCCATATATTTAATACTTGTCAAATACAGAGTGTTGCAAAAAGAATGATAAAGATTTACATATCATAAGATTATCTCTAACTTTACTAATTTTAAATAAAGTATAATGAGAATTTACTAGAATATGAATTGAAGGTAGACAATCAAGTTTCTTTTGTTTTACGATTACATTTCATTGTTACTTTTAGAAAAATCCACTAACTTAATATCACTTTCTAGGCAAGAAGCACAGCACAATATCATATTATATTTGTGTGGGCAGAAAATATGTAAGGCTAACGAGATTTACCATTGGACCAGTATAACACTTGCAACTATCTACAGAAATCTTAAAAAATTAAAAATCCAGGGTGAAATTATATATAAGAAAGGTAATGGGCAACCAAAAAAGATTGCCGGCAGCATTTCAAAAATGTTGGAACAATATCTTTGGCAGAATTCTTCATTTTCTTTAAAAACACTGGCATTAAAGCTGGAGGAAAAAAGTATTAGTGTTTTCCACACTACTATTCAGAAGCATTTGTATAGAATCAAATATCAAAATGCTCTTCCTTTGGAGGTGCCAATGTTAACGAACAATCAGATACAAAACATGTCAAATGGGTTCGAGAACACCTAGAAGATAATTGGTAAAAGACTATTTTTATAGACGAGACAGCTTTCCAATTATTCTGGAACACAATAAAAAGGTGATATAAGAATGCATGACCAGTAAAATTCATACCTAAGGACCGAACAAAGGTTTTCGTATGGGATGGGTTTTGCACAAGTGGTAAGACTAGTTGATTTTGCTTTACAGAAATTATGGATTCTAAATTTTATATAGATATTTTTTGCGACTGTTTCCCAATATTACAAGAATGCTTGGAGGTAACTGGAGATTTCAACAGGACAATGACCCAAGCATACCAATCGTCTAACTAAGGCTTTCCTTACTGAAAATGTTCCAGATCTTATGTTATGACCATTGAATAGCCCCAACCTAAATCTGATCAAAAATTTATAGTCAATAGTTAAGGGGAATATGGAGAGGCGAATGTCAAAAAATCATAATGAATTAATGTAGTTTATGGATAAAGAATAGACAAATATTTTAGAATCTACTATAAAAGAATTAATATAATCAATGAAGTGATGATGTGAATTAGTAATAGAAAAAAATGGAGAAAGAATTTCATATTAAATTTTTTTTTATATAAATCATATATGTCTTACCTTACTATAAATAAATTTTTACTTAATTTGATATGTCACTTGTGTCGCAATAAGTAATTTTATAATTATCATTCTTTTTGCAACACACTGTATATATATATTATTTTAAAAAATTATAAGTAAAATTAAAAATAAACTTTAAAAAAACAATAAAAGTATAAGTTTATTTTTAATAAGTTTTTTGAATGTTAAAATAATAACAATTAAATAGTATATATTAGCCATAAATAAAAATAAGATTTTGTATTTTAAAATAGAAATAAATTTTTATAAATTAATAGATAGAAGCTTTTTTTTTCTGTCTATTTATTTCTCTTTTCAACTTACCTTGTCTAGGCAGGTTGATCTTTAACCAATAAAACAATTCGATATTTCAAATGTTAGTGAAAATGTAGAAAGTACTAATTTAATATCTTAAGTAATTTTCATGCATTAAAGCCCAAATCGGAGGCTGAGCCAGTGTGTTAAAAGAATATTAATATATACCAAATTATTTTTTTATTAGAAATCAGAAAATCCAATGTTCTTATTTACAAAACTTAACGAATTTTTCTTTTAATTTGATTTCGCAATAATTTTAACATTAAAAATCTAATCATCAAAATAAAATTCAACTGTTACAAGTGCATCGATAATCTAAAACCCTAGAAGTTACTCTTGAAAAAATGCTTAATAGAATTATTCGACGTGCTAATTTATTTTCTATATAAATTATATTCGACTATTAGATGCTAATACCCCCATTGCTATTGTGAAATTATACAATGTCCCGTGTAACATTAAGCCCACTGCGTCTCGTTCTATGTACCACGTTACAGACACGCGTAAACTAGATAGGTTCGAAAGTTCGTCACATGAATTGTTATTGTATCATGTGCGCAAATATCCTTGTTCGATAATTAATTTCTAAAAAGCATATCTTTTGTATCTCTGGCCTTTATATATTACTTATAGTTCACTACTTCAAAAAAAAAAAAAAAAACAATTTTAAAAACAAAATATACATTGCCAACTAAATGGCAAAAAAAAAAAGGAAATATACAAGTGCACAGGATCGGGAGTAAATCCAAAAGATTTTAGTGATATCAAGTTGAGATGAAAAAAAATAATGAATAGGATTATTAATAATTAATATCGAGCCCAATGACTAGCATTGCCCACTTTCCAATAGCCCTAAAAATACTTTCCAGTCTATGGAGTAACCAGGCAAGTGATGAAAATATGCGCGAAAAGATGAATTCTAAAATAAAACGCAAAAAAAAAAAAAAAGACCAGTAATATAATAAAGAATTAACAAAAATCGTCCAATGGAATTAATTTGAAATCCATCATTTCTAGCAAGAAAAGTTTTAAACACTTCTTTTTTTTCCATTTCCTTCCAAAGATTAAACTCGACGAATCATGGTATGATGTGCATGTTCAAGATGATACTTTAATCCGTTGGCATTCTTATATCGTTTTTCACATTCAGGGAAGTTGCACTCGTAAGGTTTGATAACTGGCTTCTTTTCTTCTGTATCTGACATAGCTGACCGATGACCGTGTTCGTTATGGTATTTTAAACCGTTCGGGTTCTTGTAAGACTTTGCACAGCCTGGTATAGTACATCTAAAAGGTCTCTCATTGGCCTCTTGAGTGGCAGCCTTTGTGATGCGATGGTTCTTGGCTTTAAGGCTACCATGGTGAGACGCGATGACATGGTCCGTTGAATATTCTCCTGTACCATTATGATAGTAAGATAACTTTGGAGCTTGTTCCTCATATGGTTTGTTATATCCACTTTTCATGTTGCTTGCGTATGAACTTTGACTGAAACCTTGACTCGGAACTAAAGCGGTTTTAGAATATTTAGAATGACAAATAGATTGATCAAAGATGTTTATATCCATGACATATACTGAAGTAATAATCCCAAGTGTGTCTTTTTTTTTTTTTTTTTTTTTTTTTTCAAATATATTTATGACATCATGTTACCTTCCAATAAGAGGGTTTTGTTTTTTTTGCACGAGCTCCTATCTTTTACAGGATTGGTGTAACAACGAAGAAAGATCCAGTTTGTCTTGTACAAAAAAAAAAATTTCCGATCATTTGATTGGCTGTAGAACTTCCAAATATGTAAATCTTCTGATGCTAAAATACCAGAATTAGAAAGTGCGGTATAATGGCGCAAAATCCGCCCCACCTGTACATAAGTTGCTTTTTTATGGAACACCGATGGAACTGTGAAACAATGATGAAACATCGAAACGCGTCAATTATTTGGGCTGTGGCTGGAAGAATTTAACTATTGAATTATAAATTTAAAATAAAAATTATTTTTGTAATTGTAAATTGAATAAATATTAAAATAAAAATATTAAAAAATATATATATTATATATGTTTTTAAATAATAATATCTTTTTAAATAATAAGTAAAATTAATAAAATTAATTTAATTTAATTATTAAATATATTAATAATTTAAATATTAAAAAAAATTTAAAAATATAAATAATATATAATATATAAATTAAAAAACTTCTTTCCACTCCCCTTTCTACACTTGAGAATTTCCTTTTTAGGAAATTTTTGAATTGTTTACTTTTTTTTTTACTTTTTTTTTCTTTTTTTCTTTACTTTTTCTTTTATATATTTATTTATTTATTTTTTTTTTTTTATTTATTTTTTTTTCTATATACTTTTTTATATATACTGTATTTTACTCTTTTCTTTTTATAAACTCTGCTTTCTATAATATCACTCCCTTGGTCAGTTGATTCTTTTTTCTTAAAGATTATATCCAGAAGTAATAACTTCTCTCAAGATATAAATTTCAAAATTTTTTTTTCATTTATGACTTTATAAAAAAAGAATAGATAACTTTTTTTTTTTTTTTTTTTTGAAGGAGCAATTGGCTATCGCGCTATTATTTATTATTATAATTTTAGACTTGCAGGTTACAAGATTTACAATATGGGAAGTATGACATATATCTCTCTTTGCTAAAAAGAGTTAAATGCAGGACCTGTAAAGGTCACCCCTATGCTCCATGGCACCATTCAAGGAATACAGTAAAAAAGAATATTTAAAACCTATATTATAGTCTTAAATGGCATATAGCTACCTAAAAATTAAATTGAATGCCTAATTATATGAAGGCACTGCAGCCACTTTATACAGGTTTGCCTCCAAGTCATAAGTAGGACTGGCATACTTGCTTCTCAAATGTGACTTGATGTTCGGCAAGTAGAGTAGTGTCGAGAGATTTTTATTTGTAATTATCTTTTCACATGAAGGCACTACAGCCACTTTATACAGGTTTGCTTCCAAATCATGAAAAGGATTTGATACACACATTTCCCAAGTGTGGCGAAGTGTTCCATAGGTGGGGTTTGGTTTTGGATTTCTTAAAGATGTTGATACCTGATCTTGTACAATAAAACCTACATTGTCGGAGAGGTAGGTGAGGAACTTTTGTTGTCGTCACCAGCTCGTGTTGCGGGGATAACTAGAATCTCTGATCTTCACGTATTATCCTACTAAGTTTTCCAATCACCAGCATGATACTTGCAGACTAACCTAGCTTACTGTTAGTTGTATTGGCATTGGCTGCCATATCTTTCTGGATACTGTGGGGCACAACTCCTTGGATACTTT